AGGAGAAGTTTACTTTGCCATGATTCGCGGTGTTCTGCGTCACGGTTACAAAACCTAGCCCCGGCAGCTATTGTCACAGTGTTTTTTTTTTGATTAAATATATGTCAACTTCAAACTAAAGAATTGCGAAGGATCAAACATCAAGCAAATATATTCACGGTGTCCGATGCCTGCGAACTCACTTAGGGTCAAATGTAAAATGTGCACCTCATTAGAATGAATTCACTTGATCTATTTAATTTGAAACGTTTTCAGTGCAAATGTGTCAAATGAAGCCTCTTATATGGAGATAGACAGCTTTTTGACAACACTATTGGATTCATGGGCTAGAACCTCCCACTCTAAGCATTACGCAGGTGAATTTGTAATGGGGATAACGATTGGCGTTAGGATTCGTCATCAGAATGTGTTTCTCACCTTTCCCTTTTTACCCCTATTGTTCTCATTAGAGCGGTGTTATGATTAAATCCATGAATTTCCCGACAATACTGGTAACAACTGTAAATCCCATGAATTGTAAGCCCACATATCGTTAGATGAAAGTTAAGGGACTCATTCGTTAAATAAAACAGTTTTGGACTGACATTAAAGCTTAAATAGTGACAAGGGAGATTATTGTTCGTTGAACACTCATTCAATAACCTTGTGATAACTTAGCATATCCGAAATCTAAAAGTTAGTAAGCACTAAGTAACTATTTCTAACAATTTAATTGACGTTATTTAAATAGGACTGAATGTTTATCCGGGTAGAATCAAGATGATACATTGTTCCCATTCTTTATTTGTCCACTGAAAAATTCCCTTTTCAACAAAGCCATCGTCACATGTACTCTTTGTCTCCTGGGTCGTCTGTTACATGTCGAATTAGCTCCATATTTACCATGTATGCTTTGTACACAGATCCTGGTTTGCTTCATCAGCGAAAAATCAGTAAAACTCGCAGGGTTTTCGAATAGGGGCGCGGTACACCAACAACTGAACCTGCGCATGACTGAGCCGCTGATCTATCGACCCAGATTGATCCAAACCAGGCCCGTTTTATAGGTCAATATAAGACGGGCCGATTCGAATCAGAATTACCAGGGCAGCACTTGGATGCTCGATAAAAGTCGTCGATCAGTTTGAATTCACCATTTGCGCGTACGGCAAACCACCGGACTCTTGTCATTTAGTGTTGCTGGAACATCATGCGGGAAATAGTTCACCTTCAAGCTGGTCAATGTGGGAACCAGATTGGTGCCAAGGTGAGTCTCTAATTGGACAGAATTAGGAAAGATCCTAAAGTGTCTAAATGCAAGTATTTGTTAGTTTTATTAAAAAAGAATATTTCAGGCAGGGTGAATGAAATCTGACGTATACGACATTGCATTTTTCTTATTTCGATTTGATGATATCACAAATATGTAAGTGTGAAAAGTCTTGGGAATAAAGTTTAAAAATTTGCCAGCAATAGGTCTTTTGTGATTGTAAAGATGCCAGCAGCGTTGTTTATTCATTTTTTAGCTCAGATAGTGATGCTTAGATTTTGGTTATTTGTTCTAGTCGGCACTTGGATAGCCAGTCAGCGTTTTGCCTAAGGACACGAGCACCGGTCAACGCGAACCAAGCAGGGTCACGCAACTCAAAATCACCAAAGGTCAGAAGAGTGACAAACAGACTGATAGACAGGTAAATAAACCATCGGAGCTCTCGTGTCCATCTCACTAATCTGTATGCGCAGATAAATATACCGTTGTGAGTTATCACCCGAAAGGCTGCATTGAAACCCCATCTCAGTTGGTGATGATGAAACATCTGTGGTCTTGCCTTGGTGAATTAATAAATGAACGACAAGCTATCTTCATGTTTAGGTGAAAAGCGGAAAAAGTATTCAGTAATAATCACTGATTCTTAATGAATCATGAGTGCTCCTCAAAATCAACGGAATATCTATGTGATAGAATGAGATAAATACTATTGTGAGATGCTTGGCTCGTGTGTGCAGCAGGATGTCACCCGTGAACGGATACACCAGACAACCGCAAGTGAGCCGATTTTAGGTGTGGAACCGTCGACAGGCAGGAAGTTCTCCGTGGAGAGGGTAAACGGACAGTCTGAAAGAGAGGAAATGTAAATACCATGAACCAAAAGGTCCAGTGAGATATGAACACGACGCACACTCAAACGGAAAGGCAAGTTACCAAGGGCGTTACACTATGTACAATGCCTTTTCGGGGCATCATATGCAAAAAGATGTCTTGTTTGATGTTTGTCAAAGTGGAAACCGGATGACCTCACTGTGAATAAATGCTGCACCAGTCCTGTTAACGTGGTCATTTTATTCTAGATACATACAGCAATTTCTAGAGTCACGGTTCTAAAGTATTCATGAGAACAGAACAGGAACAGAACAAAAAATAAATCATTTTCGGGATGGGGATTATAAATCATATTTTTGCTGCTCGCAATTTCGCTAAAGATATCAAAAGCGGATAAATTAGATGTGATATTTTTGAGGCAGGTGGTGGGTGGAAGATCACCTGTAATCAAATTATTATTTGGATGTATACCATTTTAAGATGGATTTGAGAAACTACCACTGCAAACCGTGGAATCTGGACAGACATGGAGACCACCCGGTGCACTTGATCATGTGGATGTTGTTAGCCCTATCGGGTGGGGACTTCTGAATGGGCTTAACCAACGGTTGGCGACATTAGAGGATATAGCTAAGTGTACAGTGAAAAAGCCAAATGCTGCAATCTAAAAGCATAAACAGAATTCAAAAATAAAAATGTTTGTGATGACCGACAAAGAGCACTGGACAGCTGTTTTGTCCTGTTTGGGACTCGTAAGCAGTGCGTACTTTTTGGGTCCCTGTCAGAACTCGAATCACGGGCTTTCGGGTTGGTACTTCACACCCGTACTCTCGAGCTACACGGTCGACGGTCATCACCGTTAAATAACGTACTATTTTCTAGCAGTGCTTTTCCGCACAGTATGTAATCATTCACCAATATAACAACAGTAGGCAATAATGTATTGCTTGTTGTTCTTGCAACTGTATGGTCGGTGCTGATCGACTTTGAAAAAAACGTATATGCTTAGTCCGCGATCTCTGCTAGTCCTGTACAGACGATAGCTTTGGCTTGTGTCGGGAAGTGGTCTGTCCAGAGATGCCGAAGTATGGTGTCGCTAACAAGAGGGTGCTCATCTAGAGATCGCATGTTACGCAGCAATTGGAAAGATGTGCTAACTTATCTTTTGAAAACGAAAATATGTCTCGGTCTGAATCATCCAAAATCGCTGACAAAATGATTCAAAGACTGGGTTCCTTGTGTAAATGTTGTTAATCCATCAACCAAGAATAAGGGCACATAAAAGTGACATAAAAATAGAACCAGTGGCACTCAAGTCAGGCTCACCAATTATGTGGTGGCTCAACAGGAACGTACACAAAGGTAAAATAGATCATGAGATAGATCAAGGCGTAACTAATAGCACCGCAAGAGTGTTTAAGCAATTTCAGCAATCTATGCAGACCAGATTACCGGTAACCAAGTGGTTTGGTTGAAAATGTCCTTTACTGTGTAAACAGCAATACGTTATTTGCAGAGGTAATACGGAAGGATAGATGGATTTTACAAATGCCACAGTTCAGTTTGTTTTTACAACCATTAACCATGCACTTTCGTGAGCCGTTTTTGGGTGCTGTCTTTTGGCTGAACCTCCATCCTCCAAAACCGTCCGGGTCGGAAGTCTTAAACTTTTTGAGATAGCTTATTTCTCAGGTAACCTCTATTTCAGATGGAGGACCGATGTCAACTGGCAGTATTTGCACAGTTGAAGCGGGAATAGGGAGATCTTGTGTCGACGGAGACCAGCTGAACTGTGCCTTAAAATGTTCTACCCAACGTTCAAGACGGCGTTGCGGAATACAAATCAGTGTGCCGTCAAACTCCTTATTCACCTCACATACGCCTACTTTCCCTGGACCTGTACTCCTAAATAAACGAAATAGATTGCAACTATTAGAGGATAGCCGCAGCCTTCTTCATCTCTCTACACTTCCCTAACCATCACTTCTGGCAGTCATTCCTCAAACTTGATGAGCTGGCGTTTAAGGGATTTGCGCGCTTTGTCGTATTTTGAATCCGAAGGAATGGCTTTGCGACCGTCCAGTGAGGCAACCGAGGTCCAAGAGATCCATCTTATTTTATTTGATCGTGTGCCGGAATTTGCCGTTTTGATCGTTCCTTGATTGTCGGTCAGTGTTCATTGAGTCCTCCGACTGATGGTTGAGGTCAGAGGTGATCAGATAGTTCCGCTTCGAAGGCCGATTTGCAACCGTCACTGAAACTGTATTGTGGGCATCCGTTTTTGGTGGTTTTTGTGCGGTTGTTTACCAGGCGTAGGAAAATCTCGCTCGTAGCAGAGCATGGTCCGTGTCCACGGGCGTGACCGGTAGGAGCGGCAGT